AAACCATTTTTCGGCTCAAGTAGCATAGATTTATTGACGAGTTAATTTGGCTTGCGTGGTCTTAGAGAGTTTCTAACTGTTAGTCTGAGCAGTGTAAGTAAGAGTGTGTTGTCTAATTCGAGTTAGTTAGTGACCTGGGTCTCTCAATGACATGTTATTTATGTTTATTTTATTATGTGTTTATTTCTGTTTACTTCCTTTTTCTCTACTATTGTGGAGCATGGTCTTTTAAACTTGTTTATCCATCAGTCTGAGGAAATATTTATAGGAACCTCTATTTCAGATTTTACTTACTATTGAAGTTCATGCCATTAGCTGTGTCAGATCACATTGTTCCTGGTTCAACAGGATCTTTTTCATAGGTTTTCTTAAGCTTTTACACACGCTTTCCTCATTCTCTTTCTGCATAAAGTTAACCTTTTCGCTTCTTGTGTGAATAATACCAAAGGTCGTCATTCAAGTATTGCTTTTTGCTGGAAGTTGAAATACTTAGTTTTCCATGCCCAATCTCGCATTCCTTTGCCAGTCGTAAGTCACTTTCTCCTGTAATCCTATCTAAAGAAGCAATAAGAACGTTTACAGTGTCTATCACAGCCCTCCAGTTCCATCTTATTGTTCTCACACCTTTTTAATGACAAACAGCTGTCATGTTTAAGAAATCCTGACCTCTTTCAAGAATCATCATGATTCAGGTTATCCTTTTCCAATATTGTGATAGCCTCCACTTATGTATTATGAATGGCTATGGGATTACTTATTTCACAATGTGAATTCGCCTTAAAAACACCAGCGTATGATATCTGAAAATGAAATAAATGTAATGAGATATTGTCAAGTTTATTCATATCAGGTGTCATCCTCATTTCTTAAAGTGTGCTGTCACTGGTTACTTGTTTCATTCTAATTTAGTTTGCCCATAAAGATGAGTTCAGTAAGGTTGCGCATGGATACACCATCGATTCAGTGTTAGATTCTGTTCTTTAACCCCTATTCACTACTTTGCTTGCGCATGGTAAAGCATTTCTTTTCCGTATGTAAACATAGTAGGTCAGATTATTGACGAATAATTATGAATCTAACTAAATGGGATGTCAACGAATCGAAATACTGTTTTTCAGGGTATCAATTTAGTTGAGATGCTTGACTTATCTAAGTTTCTAAGGAACTGGAGTGTTTTTTAATTAGACAGACGTAAGGTTAGGTTTACAGCTTATCAGCTATATTTCAAATTTGATTCCGTTTCAAAGGTTGTGAATCGTGCTTCTCAGTGAACTTAATTACCACTGATTGGTTTCTCTTTAGATGACTATAAGCATATATAGGCCTATTCGAAGTTGAAAATACTCTACCTATCTACTGAATTATGGTTATAAGAAAGATTTAATCATTATAAGAGCATGACAAATCAAATAATACATTGTTGGTGTGACCTTAAAAATTTGCATTTAAAGGTGATTTTCATCACTAACTTATCTAATTGATAGATACTTACAGATCAGCTGCTACTTCATTTTCATTCAGTGAAAAAAACTACTATCAGAGTGCTGTTTTCCTTATCTAGGTCGAAGGGTTTTCATGAACTAATACTGCATTCACAGGAGTCATTACTAACTGATTATGAAGTCAATTTGGAGGTTTTGTGAAGATTTATTAACTTCAGGTTGGTATTCATCATAGACTGATATTAGTCCGAGAAACAATGGAAACCTGAGAGCACTGGACAACTGTTTCGTCCTAGTATAGGACTCTTCAGTAATGCTCACCCATGACGCCACACGCTAGGGGTCGAACCCAGGACCCAGGTTTCGTGGCCAACACGTTACCATTAAGTCACTGGGTCAGAATCCAATGGTCCATACTTCCTACTACTGTCAGTTCATGTCATTGGATAGAGGTCGCGCTATATCGTAAGCTAACAGAAGGTGGAAATATGGACCATTGAATTCTGACCAAGTGGCTCAATGGTAACGTGTTAGCCGCGGAACCCATAGGTCATGGGTTCGATCCTTGGTGGGGCCGTGGGTGCACATTGCTAAAGAGTCCCATACTGGGACGAAACAGCTGTCCAGTGCACTCAGGTTTCCAATTTTCTTCGAACTGATGTCACTCCATGATGAATATCAGTTTGACTGCGGATTCTATCTATCGTATCATAGAATAGTGCTGTTCGATCAATGTTCGAGCGATGATTAAACCTGCAATCTTAAAAGAAAACGCAATGGAAAATAGATATCCTGTATTCAGCCTATAGTTCTTTAGTTAGTGCTAATATGTGGTGAAAACTCACTCCTCCAACCCTATCTAGGTTCGTTCTTGAATCGGTTTGTGTGTATGCACTCAGACAGAACTCCAAAATTAGGCAAGAAAACGTTTCATTGCTATCTGGCTTTCAGTAATTCTTTAACAGATTTCAGTCCATTGTGCAGACACTTTTAGAATGTCTGAATGTTGAGGTTTGTATTTTTGTGTATTAGAGCAAGAAAAGATCTACTGAATTTAGAAAAATAAAACTTAAGACAAGTAGATGCTTGCAGTAATGGACACTAAAACTGAACACTCCACTCGACGGAGATTTTAACCAAAATCCTACACACCTTTGAAATTTCATGGTTTATCAGTGTTCCGCGCACCCCTGATTCCACAAAGATCGGCAATGAATTTCACTAATACATCACCACAGAGATTTTAGAAACACTTTTATAAATACGAAAACATCTGCTTCTTAATTGAGAATGTATAACCAAGGAGGGTATACGTTGAATGTCGAGTTTCAATGTCGACTTGAATACCTATTGAAAATAAAATTGTGTCAGACTTCGACATTAACCCATTATACATCGGTGTACCAATTAGTAAAATAACTAGGGTTTCTGAATTCAAATTCGCATGAAGTTATGGGTTCAAATTACCCTTGTGACAGACTGACTGATTTCAAAGAATGAATACATTTGCTCCACTGACTGATTTTCATCCATATCACCAAGAGTCCTCAACCACTGATTCGTTTCCTTTCGAGGACCCCAAGCAGATACTCTACATCTCCCAACACAATTCAGATCAAAGGTCAGAAACTTCATGTTCTGGTGGCAGATCTTGGTCTGGCCAATCTGGACCCTCTTCCAATCTATTCCAACTTCCCCTAGCATTGGACAACGAGGTAGATGGTGACTTGGTATACACAGTACATGTACATATCCGCACCACGATCTCAGTCAACGAAGGTTCATAACTTCACCAATTGACTAGCTTGTCTGGTGTAGTACTCTTTGTCTGACCTCAACACCACTCACAGTGATTCCATCATACGCAAGCAATGCTACGAAGACATCTGTGATCAAAACCCAGTAACGGTTTTATGTTTTCTAACTTAACGGCCATATCTCACAGCTATGTAACAGGGCAGAACGGACTGCAGTGCAGTGTACTTGTCTCTTAATAGGCAGCTGGATTTCTCACCAGTGAGTGCCACAGGTGACGCGATTTAGCAAATGCCAAACAGGTCTTCTGTGTCCGAGCTGAGATTTCATTAGCAACCACCACATATTGGCTGTTGCAACTCCCCAAGTAAATACCGTAGTCGACATAGTCCACCATTTCACTATCTATCATTAAACTGGGAGTATTTGCAACAGACCAGTCTGGGAGCGTCATCTCACATTTGACAGGTGCCAGAGAAACGCATGCCAGACGAACAAACTCAGATTTTTGCTCAACGTGTTGTAAAGACCTTGGAATGAGTCAACATTCTCAGCTAGCAGGACAAAATCGTCCGTATACTCCAAGTCAACCAGATGACCTCTATGGCGTGCGTCAACTCCTGTGAAGTCAGATGCATCAAAGATTATGTCGTTAAGTACGTTTATGAAGAAGTTAAGTAGGAGGAGGACACTGCTGGTTGTGGTGACTTCACATGACAACTCTCCACAAACCGTGACATGGTTGCATGAATTCGAGTGAAGGGCTTGGACTAGTGTTATATACTTTACTACATTCACAGTCAGGCACCCCACGGTCAACAGAATCAAATGCCGCCTTCAGGTCAAGAAATATTTGATATGGGCCAAGGGTAGGTATGCATATGTTCCAGAATCTGTCGGAGGGTAAAGGTATGAAGCGATACTATCTCCTCTGCCAATATAAAATTCCTAAGACAGTTGAGAGATGAAAAGATAGAAGCGTTCAGAGAAATTTGGATGAGTAGAAGTTTCGCTACACTCCAATTGTGCACTTCTGCACATGAGTAAAAGAATAAACAACATTAGATATGAATTACGTCTAAAGTTATTACCTTAAGGAAATATGATTTTCTGAATGACACTCAAAGTATGTTCCTTATTATTATAGTATACCAGTAATTTGACACAACTAACCACTTTAACAGTAATAATAATAATAGTAATAATAATCAAGCAACTAGGTCAGGTGCATATGTTTTCTTTACTTCCCTATAAACCTCATGTAAAGTATGAGAATCTGTGACAGTACCCAGCTAATCATACGGAATTGGGTGAAGCTGGGTTTGAACTAGGTAAGCAGCGGTTGAAGGTGAAACGCCAACAAACCACATCTTCGGGATAAAGAATATGAGGATGAAGTTTAGTTCTTACGATGAATTAAAGACTATACACAAAAAACCCTCAATAGGACATCAACAAATGGGGTTATTAAATGATATTCATTGTAATTATTAATTTAGAACCAATCGCGGTATTTTTCCAAAGAATAAAACATGTAAGTATAGAATTCGAGTACCATGGTAGAATGTAATCCTATAATCGATTAGTCTATTTGATATGAGTATGTGCAATAAATTGTGCTTAAAATGGCATCCAGTAAATAATACTCTATCGCTGTATGCTATATCGGATAGACCAATCTAATATAGAAGGGTAAAACATTTCGTGCTTACGATTGATGAGATAGGAAATAACACTTTATGCTCAGTAAACTCTGACAGCTAGTAAACTGACACATTAGTACTTCACGGTAATTGAACTTACTCTCTGAGCAGCAAATAACACGGGGCCGGTTGCGATACCCATTGTAGATCAGCTCCACTAGGTTTACCCAAATTATTCTCATCAGTCACGAAATCCAACACATCATCAATTAACTGAAATGCCATACCTAAGTGTCGACCAAATTCATACATATCGTCAATATGTTGAGGTGAAAGGGCTGGGACAGTCAGCATAGCAACCTAAAGGAAATTTAATTTGGTACAAAAAAAGCAAGTCCACTTTAGCCTAAAAGACGAATTACGCAGGCTGAAGTCACAAGTCAGCAATTTAAAACACTTAGCAGAAACAGATTCGTAGTTAGGCTTAAGCTTGCTGTGTACAGCGTTTATGATTTACAATCTCACTGTAAATACTACATCACTGTGCTGCTGAGAACATATTTATTAAGCTACTCATATCGGATTGAAAAGGCCTGAATCACCTGAATCACCACATTTGAGGGAGCAATAAAAATACTGAGGATATTTAAATTTTAAACATGGAAAACACACTATAATGAAAAATTTCCCTAGGGCAGTTCCCACTCACAGAATATTACCTATGATTACATTTCGTGCATACTTCAAATACATGATAACAAAATGTGCGGTGGCTAGAAACAAGTACTAACACTGAGATACTTGTTCAGATCAGTCGAGATTAAGACCAAGAGAGTGTGAGTAAAACCAAGTTGAAAAGATACGAATACTACTGATAATTAGTACAATTAGTCACCTAAACATCTTTTCATAGCTTAGTCAAAATTTTCCTTAAATATTAATTGGTCAAAAACGCACTTTTCTCTCCAAACACGAAACCTTATCTGTGCAGCATATTAGTCATACCGTTTACTCAAGCAAGTTGGTCAGAGTATTTTAATTAATTAATATCCACTTTTATTTAGATTTATTTCTACAGTGCGTGGGTAAATAGCCTGTAACCATCCTTGACTTTCATTTTCGCTTGAATTATTGGTATGGTGGCAACGATCGACCGATTGAACATAATGAGTACTGCTTAGATCAGGGTAACTTCAAGCTCTACTACTTAAAAAGCTTACCCGGTTAATTTGTCAGTTCCCAGTTTCACAAATTAATTTAGATCGAGTGATGTTCCTCAAGGATGTTCACTTTCCATTCTAAGTCAACTTTATTATATAAACACTAAAGGGGGTCTCCATCTCATCTGGTCTTACCGTAGGAGACTCTATATTAAGCCCACAGTGCGCAGATGACATGACCCTGTTGAATAAAAACACTGATAAGATGCAGACTTCTGAACACATTGTGTGGAAAATTAAAGATGTATTAGATGAGATTTTCACCACTCAAATGCAAATTGCTGCTCTAGGACTAGCTTTGGCTAGTGCCTTTTCTAAAAATAAAGAATGAAGTAGTCGGACACCCTTTGCATGCAGATCCACCGCATACATAGACGTGCCATGGTTACGGAAAGTTGTATTAAACTGGAAGAGGGTTCAGGGTAGCCAGACTAAGATCTGCCCCCAGTCCACAAAGTCGCTTACTGTTACTCTGAGTCTTGTGGAGAGATGTAGAGAGCCTAGCTTGGGATCCTCAAGAGGAAACAAATCAGTGGTTGAAGACTCTTGGTGACAGGAATGAAAATCAGTCACATTGAACCACACGTATTCATTCCTTGACATCTTATAAAGCTTCAATATTCACACTAACTTTCATCTTCAGATTGTTTGTGCTCTAACACAACTTTATCCATTTTGATATCCCTCTTTTTCTATCCACTTGTTCTTTGTGCATTATTGTGAAGTGTGGCAACTTGAGGCAATGAACTTGTGTGCGGGATTCTACGTTGATTTTGTCTGTCCGCCACTTCAATTGCTTGAGCAGTCGACGGGTTAGTGGCCAATGAAATTTCTGCACGGATATAAAAGCCTAGTTTGGTATTCACTAACTTCTTTAATTACCTATTAAGGGTTAAGTTTACTGTGCTGAAGTTCACTATATCCTAGCATATGCTTGGGAAACATGCCCAATGAAGGTAGGAGATATAAGAAGGCTTTAAGTGTTCGACTAACGTTGCCTTTGTATGATGATCCGTGTGTCATGGTGTCACCATGTTGGTAGCATAGAGTTTGGGGTAGAAGACGAAAGTCAGTTGAAAAGGTTGTGAACCTTCACTGAAACACAGGTGGCCGGAACATGTTTCACATGCTTAGTCACCGTCCGTTTCACCGCACAATGTTATATCAAGTAGGTTTGCGGTGGAAAAAAGGTAAGACGTGGACAGAATAAGACATCGAATCAGTTTGTTTCTTGATCTTAACCATGTGGAGAACGTTAACACCTCAGTTCAGGTTTGAATGAAAATCGAAATCTGTAGTTGGAGACTCTAGGTAACAATGATTTAGAATTCGCTGCGATACTGATGTATGCACACATTACACTCATCTTAATTGCTATAGTGAATTTCAGTATTCACTCATTGCTCCTCGCTCTTTTCATGGCTTACTACTACTATCTACTACTTTTGGCTACTTTCTTTCCATTCTTCGCATCTTTCAACTTGGTGCGATCTCATTTGGTGTTGATATGAGGTGTTCTAACGTGTTTCGCAGCACCACTAGGTTCCATACCGATATAGACTGACTAACTGACCAATCATCAGCATCACTATCAACATAGGACTGGGCATTACTGCATAACAGTCCAAGATGCCACAGCTCATATCGATACATCAAGTAAAAAGGAAGTGAAGTGCAAGATGAAGATAAGAAAATCCAGTCAAAAGAAATATAAGGTACAAAAAGGGAGAGACTTGTTCAGTTACTGTGTAAGTATTTTGATAACATTTCAAAAATTAATGGAAACTGTACAGACATATGAAGTTGCTCAAATTTTTTTGATCTTTAAGACGACTGTATCGATACACTTCTAACCTCCATTATCATCACTTTTCGATCTACTTTTTTATGTGAGGTTGTGAAGAGTGACAACTTAAACTGATGTAATTTTGTGTCACTTTCTACGTTGATTTTACTGTCTCAAGGTAGATGAGGAAAGTCGATAGGTAATCGCCTGTTATAATAAAGAAAACGAGAGGAAATTCTGTCAGAGAGAGCTGCATACAATAAAAACCACTTCAAAAGAGAAATCTGTTTATGTGAGGGAAGTATTTGAAGTAGAACCCATACCACAAAAGCATATAGGACTCAAACTTTGCTAAACTTGATCATAACCTAAAGTAGTATTGTTGTAGATATATTCAAATAATCAGCTTATTAAAAAGTGAACTACCTACCGCTTTACAACTGTTAGCAATCAAGCTTGCTGTTTTACGGTAGGTTTTCGTTAAATATGCCTGAAAACGTTTGTCATCATCATCGCTGTTCGCTGTCAATTGCATCATCTCACCTAGAAATGAAGGGTGATCAACAAAGAATGTATACAAACAAACCATGAATAAGATCCTCAATAACTTGAGAAAGAACAGCTATCACTCTGGTATCGCCAATTTGTGCTAGTAAACGTGATGAATGAGTAAGTATAAAATCGCCTCCTAATATAGCCTGGAAAAAAGTTTACATGCATCGCGAGAGATAATAAACATTAATTTGCACTCTAAAGTCCAACTAACAAACAACAGAAATTGAAGCACTATGAATACTGTAAACAATAGGGAATAGTTTGATGAGTAACAGAACAAGGTATTCGTATAGAACTTTGTCGATAATGTTCTGTCTCTGTTAAATCTAAAAAACATAAGAAGTTTATAATAGGTAGCGTCAAAACTTTTAAGAACTACTTGATCGATGAAACCTCCAATGCATAGATACCAACACTTTCGTGTCTGCCATTTTCGTAAGGTCAGTAATAATAACAACAATAATGTACTAACCTGAGTCACACTTACTGTGTGACAGTTTATTATACTACCCGGCTAGCACAGCAGAATTAAGTAGAGCTGGTTTTAAGCTTATGATTCACTCAATGAAAGTCAGGTATTTAAAAAAATTAACCTAAAACAGGCTCACTGCGTTATGAAGATGACGTTTCCTGAAACTGTTAAGTCTTTGAGAGTGATGTCACTTCACTTTATTGCCATAGAAGGGATCTCAGGCTCAATCTGGATGGTTGTGGATATTATGAAAGATGTGGTCAAGACTTGGCTGGTGAAAGTGGCTTCTGGAAGGCCAGATGTGTATCAGCAGGAACCATAACTTAAACATACCTCCGAAAAGACTCAGATACGGTTATTCGAACACCTTTGTCAGGTTCGATGTTTGACCTCTCACTCCTCTGGTTGTAACACTATGGGTTCTTATTGTCCCAATGTGGTTGAAAAGACACCAACCGCGCTGCATGCATTACAAACCACCGAGTAATTGGTAAGAACAAACAGAAGGATACAAATCAACGTATAGTTTGGTGCATACGTGAGCCAGTTCAGGTCGCCATACTCATAAAAACACAAATAGATAGGGGATTATCAACAGAACGATATTAGAGTAAACAAAATTGTATGGGAGAGACAATGAATACAAAGATTGTGATGATGTGTGACTTCCATGGTGACAAAAAGCATACATTTGCACCACTGTGATCGATTTTTAGTCAATGTTTAAGTCTTCAAATCGGTTTGTATCATATTGAGAACCCCAAATATGCAGCCTATATCTCCGTATAGGCCTCAGACCAACAGAGATTGCATGGACCGGTGCTGTTTTGGTCCAGTTTTCTCAATCTTTCTCTCGACTTTACTTCGGCTAACATAGCGCACTGAAGTAGACAGTAGCTCAACATATGCAAGAAATGTCTCAGCCGCAGTTTAAAAATGTACTACCAGACGTAGGTAACTGCTGAAGAGTATGCTTATCATTACTATTCACTGATATACTTGAAATTCTCCGTCGTTTTATTGCTTATCCTTCATCGGTACCATTATGACAAATTTTCAACGAAGTCACCAGAGTTCTCAACCACTGATTCCTACCGTCACCCAGACCCCTGCCAGGTATTTCATACTTCCCGATATGGCTAAGACCAACAGCCACAGGCCTCATCAACTGGTGCCGCGTCTTGTTCTAACCAGCCTGAACTTTCTTCCAACCTGATTCAATAGCCCAAGCATTGTAAGTCGGGATACGTAGTGAGTTGGCAAGTGAGGCACATATCCAAACCATCCCAGTCGATGAAGATTCACAACCTCATCAATCGACTTCACCAAAACATTACTCATGTGTTGATTTCATCATATGCTAGCAATGCTACAAAGACACCTGCGATTGAAGGCCTGTAACTGCTTCATACATACTACTTCTAACAGCCATCTCTTAGCCGCATAACAAAACACAACGAGCTGTAGCTCCGTATACTCGTCCTATGATAGATAGTCAAATATGTCCCCAGTTGGCGATATAGCTAATGCAAGCTAGCAAACGCCATAAGCGCTAACTGCATCCGAACTGAAATCCAATCAGCGATAAGCCTATTTCAGTTGTTGCACCTTCCCAAGTAAGTGAAGTAGTCGACACACTCCACAACTTCCCCACATAGCCCTTAACTCGAAGTAGTTGAAAATCATCTAAGAAGACCCAATTAAACTTCACAGGTGCTGAACATAAGTAAAGAAAACTCAGATTTCGACCACAACGCGCTCAAAAACTCTGCATTCTGATACCATCATAATCTAACAAGACAATGTCATCTCTGTACTCTAAGTCAATCAAATGCCTTCTACCGACTATGCCAATCTCTCTGAATTCATGAATACCTAAGGTTATGTCCATTAACAAATCTCTAATGAAACACGAACGGTGACAGATAGCATGCCTGGAGGACACCACTAGTTGTCGTCACTTCACATGACAACTCTCCATTAGCCGTTACACAACTACATGAGTTCAAGTAGACAGCATTGATTACCGTGATATATTTGCTCGGTAATCCCGTCACAGTCAGGCACCACTGTCACAAAACCGATCAGTCGACGACGTCGAATGTCACCTTCAGACCGGAAATTATGAAAAGTGTTGGCCATTGGTGAGTATACCTGTTTTGCAGAAGTGGTCGTAGGATGAAAATGTGATCGACACACCCTTTCTAGGTCTGAAACCTGTCTGGTTTTCTCGGGTTTGGTGTTCCCGAGTTCCAGTTAGGCGTCGGATAACAATGAACCCAATGATCCTGGTCACAATATTAGTCAAATTGATTCCCCTATAGTTGTCACAAGAAGACTTCTCTCCATTCTTGTAGATTGGTGTGATCAGTGAAGTAGGGCAACCTGACGAGACTACCGCTGATTACCATACAATACCTAATGCCTCCGTCACTCTAGTCATCAACTTCCTGTCTCCATCCTTAAGAGCTCGGGGTGGCATATCGTCAGGTTTGCATCGTTTGAAGCTTGAGAAAGCCTTCTCAGCTTCCAGAGCAGATGGGAGACTGAGATATACGTCGCATTCAGGTATGGGCTGGATGATGAGCAACTGGAGCGTTGTTCTGGACCAGCTTAACTGTGCTTTGAAGTGTTCCGTCCAACATTCTGGCTACCTGTTCTGAGCTGTTATCAGCGTCTCATTCTTTTCGCTGATGCTTCCACTAGCCATCGATTTTTGTCACATTTCCTTAACAAGAGTAAATAGTTGACGGGTTGCAGCTAATGCTGATGCCTTCTCTATCTGTTTACTTTTCCCCAGTAACCACTGCTCATGATTATTTAAAAAATGACGGTCAATTTACGTTTAAGTCTCTTTGGCTCTTCACTGTGATCAGAGAGCTCGAATTAGTCTACTCGTATAAATATCCTATTGGGATGTGCACATGTATCAGGAGATGGAACTCATATGTTGCTATTCTTAAAATGTCCAAGATGTTAAAGGGTATATGAATCCGCACCATTTCGACCTCTTCATTTTTACAATCTGGAACGATAAGGAATCTAGGCCATTCTGACAGGAGTACATCTGATTCCCATACTCTGGCTATCACTTCCGCTAGTTTACTCCATTTTATGGAAATTCTGGTGGCAACCCATTAGGTGCCGCTAATTTGCATCGCCTCAAGTTTGAAACAACCTTCACAACTTCATAGATAGTTCGAAGGCCGAAATCCATGTTCGTTTTGGGTTCGAACTTGTTACTAGACAACTAGAGCGTAGCTGTAGGTCAGTTGTTTTTCACTTTTCTACCCAGAGTTTCAGCTGTCTCTGCTGAGACGAAAGGAATTCACCTTTTTCGGCAACTGTTTTACTAACCATCGTCTTCTTGACCATGATTTCCTTAAATAATCGTGACCAGTGGTTACTAGGGAAAAGTAAACAGATAGAGAAGGCATCAGCATTAGCTGCAACCCGTCAACTATTTACTCTTGTTAAGGAAATGTGACAAAAATCGATGGCTAGTGGAAGCATCAGCGAAAAGAATGAGACGCTGATAACAGCTCAGAACAGGTAGCCAGAATGTTGGACGGAACACTTCAAAGCACAGTTAAGCTGGTCCAGAACAACGCTCCAGTTGCTCATCATCCAGCCCATACCTGAATGCGACGTATATCTCAGTCTCCCATCTGCTCTGGAAGCTGAGAAGGCTTTCTCAAGCTTCAAACGATGCAAACCTGACGATATGCCACCCCGAGCTCTTAAGGATGGAGACAGGAAGTTGATGACTAGAGTGACGGAGGCATTAGGTATTGTATGGTAATCAGCGGTAGTCTCGTCAGGTTGCCCTACTTCACTGATCACACCAATCTACAAGAATGGAGAGAAGTCTTCTTGTGACAACTATAGGGGAATCAATTTGACTAATATTGTGACCAGGATCATTGGGTTCATTGTTATCCGACGCCTAACTGGAACTCGGGAACACCAAACCCGAGAAAACCAGACAGGTTTCAGACCTAGAAAGGGTGTGTCGATCACATTTTCATCCTACGACCACTTCTGCAAAACAGGTATACTCACCAATGGCCAACACTTTTCATAATTTCCGGTCTGAAGGTGACATTCGACGTCGTCGACTGATCGGTTTTGTGACAGTGGTGCCTGACTGTGACGGGATTACCGAGCAAATATATCACGGTAATCAATGCTGTCTACTTGAACTCATGTAGTTGTGTAACGGCTAATGGAGAGTTGTCATGTGAAGTGACGACAACTAGTGGTGTCCTCCAGGCATGCTATCTGTCACCGTTCGTGTTTCATTAGAGATTTGTTAATGGACATAACCTTAGGTATTCATGAATTCAGAGAGATTGGCATAGTCGGTAGAAGGCATTTGATTGACTTAGAGTACAGAGATGACATTGTCTTGTTAGATTATGATGGTATCAATATGCACGTGTGTTGAAAATCGGTCGCAATGGTATAGATGTATTTATTCCTGGATATCTTCTTAAGTTTGAGTGTTTTGTTTTATCCTTATTGAGGAATTCTATCTTTGTATATCTCAGTTCAATCAGCTTGGTTAAGTCTTCTATCCAGTTGTGGATTGCATTCTACTGTCAAGTGTGGTAACTGATGTCAGAATAAACTAGCTTGTAAGAAGTGCCAAAGGTTAATGCATGTCTTCTAGCAATCAAATTTACATCACAAGCCTTCAGTGATGCATTGAATGCATAAAACACATACGAGTTATTATAAATAGATGAATGTGGTCATGTATAGGAAAAACGCAACACACTCACCTCTCGATGCCCAAAAGCCCTATAAGCTGAAGTTTTGCCCCTACGAAGAGATGCAGAGTCAATCAAGTCATCGTGAATAAGACTGGCGGTATGAATCATTTCTGCAATCTTGGCAATCTCATGCTGACTCGGTGACACTAGACCGACTTAGAAGATTAAGTGAATTGGAAAATACGTACACAAATTCCTTCCACTTTTCGTTTCAGATGATTTGGAGCTATCGTCTGTGTGTGCAGTAGCGCAGGCTGCTACCAAAGTAACTAGTAGTGGACGGACAAGCTTTCCCTGAGAATCGAATTGGTAGTGAAGCAAATCCCGGAATTTAGGGAATATCGGACAGAGACTCTTCAATGTAAATAAAGCTTAGGCACTAAAATAATATTACACTCCTTATTTCCGAGACAAGCGATCGAACATCCACGAGAGCATTTTGTAAGAGCTGTTCGCAGTCCCTATCAGGGACGCGTGAAAGGTAAGCACTTGAGTGTGTCAATCTCTGAAAATTGAATTTATCAAAATAACATGAACAAACTTGAAATGCAACCCCACAACGCCTTAGAAATAGGGCCGCACGAAGGCCTACCATTAAGCCTAGTAGCGCGGCATTTGAACAACCCTCTTTTTGACATCCAACAGCAATGGTGTGAGCAGAGAAAACTTGCAGTTTTTGAGCTGTCACTCCTAGGTCTTGAGGCTTGGTTTTTTTGTTCGGTCGTACCCCTTCGATGGTAGCAGAAGTCTTTGCGCTTTCCTGCTTATAGCTTTGGAGGCAGTATTCGCCTATTTGGTGTTTTATTTGTAAATTTCAGCTTGGTTTGATTAGGAGGGGACAACGGAGCTGCCAATAAGATCAATCAACCGTTTGCAATTCCTGTTGTTGTGGGCACCTGCAATTAAGTTTGAAGCTTCACTTAAAAGGTGATATAAACGTAACGAGTGGGGAATGAGAAAAAGGGAAGTGAAAAGCACTTTCAAAAAGATATGGCTGGTAATAATATGGATGACAGGTGCGTCTTACTGTGAATACTAAGGTTTGAAATACAAAGAGAATACAGGGACGGAAGGGCGTATCATCAGCTGCTACTAACAACTGTTCGTGGTAGGCTATCTTCGTTCACATACTCATCCAGTAGTCGTTTGAGGGAGTTGACTGATGCAGCTGTGGCCACTTCTTTCGGCAGCGCGTTCCATAAGGCACACATTGTATGGGAGGAGAAGTTAGACCTCACTCCAGTCCTTGCTCTATAGTGGGGTATGCCAGTGGGGTTCTCCTGGGATTGTCGGATTTGGGCCGATATTGTCCTACTTGGGTGGTCCACCTGGTGACACCACTCTACATCTAACCTTAAATCCTATTCATATTTTACTAGCTGATTCAACCAGTTTATATTTACTTGGTTTCTTTTAGGTCCAGTGAAACCCCTTCATGTACTGGGAGGACCCCGATGCAAGAGATCCAGTTGTTATCTGAATGTTTATCTAGTAAACCCGAGTAGTGTTGGGAATGCATGATTTGTCCTGGGCCCGTGGTTTATATGAGATCTTCAAATCTCGTGTCATGGAATAGTTATCTCTACTTGTCATTAAAAATAGAGATCTAGAGATAATCAAAATAACGAGAGATCCCATGCTAACAATCCAAGAGGGATAAGGAGAAACCATATTATTATTATTCCCTCGAGTTCACAGTAATACATGGGACTTCAGTGGCACGTCGCCACTTCACTCTCTTCTCTGCAGTCTTTTCAACCTGGCCCCATGACTGCTTACACTTCTTCTTTATACTATCTCCGCGTCAACCTCGCCTCGGATGCCCAACTCATTGTTTCCAATTTGGCTTCCACTCGTGGGCCTGGCCTGGCGCATGATGTACCCAATCTGTCTTCTCAGTGTATGCCCAACCCATCTCCACCTTCTTCTGCATATTTGTTGAGCGATAGGTTCTTGGTTGGTTCGTTGTCGGAGTTCCAGAGTTCCTTGTTGCTTATTCTCAATATTCTGGCCATCTGATCTTCAGTGTTAGTATCGAGTGAGCGTAGGCGGCAGTTGTTGATGAATGTGTGTAGTTTGTTGGAAATGCCTTTCGTAACACGCCGCCAAGTCTCTGAACCATTACACACAGGCACTGACTCATTTGACTGGATTAGTGTTGGAAATTTTGATCTTCTTTATGCTGAATGTAGTCCAGTAGGTCTCCACACCGATTTCATTTTAATGTTGGCCTGTCTTGTCTTTCCGATCCTGTCTTTGTCGTCCTCATGTGTGTGGTCTGTAGTTGAAACGATGCTGCCTACGTAGGTGAAAGAGATAACTTCCTTTACACTTCTTCGGCTGATGGCGACTGCAGCTTGTTGCTGTTGGTCGGGTATCTTCATCACCTCTGTCTTCTCTACCTTCACTTGAAGCTCCGTCTTCGCTGCCTCACCTCTTCTGTCAACTTGTTGACTTTTGACTGTAGATTTCCGAGTTTGTGCGACACTAGATATAAATCATCCTGAGGGGAATCCAAATCTTCTAAGGTCTTTTTGTCGGTGCAGCCAGTGTACGCCCATCTTTTCGTTCCTCACCGTTTGTTGATCCGTCAGGTCCACCACAATTAGGAAGATGATCGGTGATAGTAGGCAACCTTTTCTTATTCCTGTCTTCACTTCCACCTTAAAGGCATCACCGGCCTTTCCATTTTGAATCACCTGGCGCGTAGCATCTTCATGTGGCATATAGCTGTTGAATAAGTTTGGTAAAGGTTTGTGGTATTCCGTAGCGCTAAAGCGGCTGTCAAATCACTTCTTGGTTGACTCTGTTGAAGGTCTTTTCAACGTCGATGAAGTTGGGGTTGGGTTGAGTTGATTGCCATTCTATGCTCTGTTCTATGGTGATGCGTAGCTTTGCGGTTTGAGCCGCAGATGAGTTGTACTTCCTGAAGCCAGCCTGTTCCGGTCCTCATTTTGATCCAAAACATCTGTTAGTCTCTCCAGGGTGATGCGGCATAATATTTCGCTTGGTGTGAACAAAATCATGAGTTTCTGCCAGTTCTTGAAAAGTCTTGGGTAGCCCTTTTTTAGGAGTTTGAGGAGGTAGCTCTTCTTCCACTCTGCAGGTACCTTTCCTTTCTTCCACGTCTACTGCAATAGGGATGTGAGTATGTTCGCCGTTGTCTCCACGCCTTAGTTCAGTGAGTCCGGCCGAATTCCACCTAGTCCTGCTGCTTCCCTGGATTTCAGCAACTTCATAGCGTTCAGGAATTCACTCCTGCTTCTCTCGAATGGCTTGTATTCACTGATAGTTCTGTGGCTGCTGATGAACTAGTCACAAGTGGTGGTAGTTGATTCAAGAGCTTCTTGAAACGGTCGGCTTATAGCTTCCTTTGTTTCTCCTCTTTGGTAACTAGGCTTCCTCCCCTATCTCTTGTTGGTCTCACCTGCATTGATCTCATCCCAAATATTACTCTGGTCACTTAATATAATGTTGTCAGGTCTCTCCTACCTGCAGTCTGCTCTGCTTCGCTCGCCAGTGTGTCGTTGAGGTATGTTTTGTCTTTGCGCGCACTCTTCTTCATATCGTTGTCCAGTGTAGTGTTTTGTAGGTTGTGTGCAGTTCCTCTTTTCGTTGTTCATCCTTGCACTGGTTTATCTCCTGTTTCACGATCTTCATCTCCTCTATCAGCTTCCACGCATCCATCGAGATACATTCTTTGTCTTTTCCTGCTTCTTCCTTTCTAATAGACTCAAGCAGGTTCCCTTCCACATCTCTTCCAAAGAGTTTCAGTGTTCCTTCGCACATTTTTCTTCGGGATGCTGCCTGGTGTCTACCATGTTCACCTGATAGCTGACGTGGAGATGTTCTTTGCAGTTCCATTCCTCAATTTATGTTCTGGGTGTTGAACTTGGGCTGCGGTCTGTCATCACCAGCCTCCTTGAAGGTTTTCAACTTGATTTTGAGGGTAGGTTCCGTGCACCAGATAGTGAGTGGTGTGAACCTAAATCCGCTCGGCCTCTCGACCTTGCTTCCAGTAGCCCGCATCCCCACTTTCTTTATATCAAAATAAAGTCAATCTGATTTTCAGTGTTCATCTGGTGAAGTCCATGTCGCTTAGCATACATCCTTGTGTTTGTATACACTACCTCCAATCACCAAATCATTAAATGCACAGAAGTTCGCAAAGACTTCTCCATTCTCATTCTTTCCAGCAGGTTCATCTCAACCTATGATGAGCTCTCTTCCTGTGCTGTCCGCTCCCAGTTTGGCGTTCATATCAACCATTAGAATTTTGATGTCTCCAACTGGAGTCTTTTCCTGTACCGCTTGCAGCTGACTTTAGAATTCCTCCTTCTTCTCTTCATGTAAATTATTTGTAGGTGCACGATGCAGCAATATGTGTTCGTAACTTTCCTTTCTTTTCATCTGAATCTTCCCGTCATGATCCCGTGGGAGATTGGCTCTCATTGCAGGAGGGTCTTCGATGCTGTTGGGAACATCATGATAGCCACTCAAAAACCCAGTGTGCTTGTGGTTATCGTCCAGGCGACAATATCGGAATGGATGACTGACTATCCAGTAGACAGTCTAGAGAGTCCACTTCCATTCCATCTGCCTTCGCAGGTCCCTAGCACTTCTATGCCATACTTTTTCATCCCTTTGGCAATCTGAGCAACCCTGCTAGCCATCTACAAGCATCGAGTGGATTTTCCATGTCCCTATGCTCACTCTGGCTTCCGTCGGGAAAAGGGAAGATACATCGGCCAATTGACTTCCCGAAGGCTTCTGCCAACTGGCGTCGTTTCGTCTCTCCAAGTGCAGCAAGAAATAAAATCAGTTCACCTTCTATATTTTCTCTGTGCTCCGAGGCTTCTCTAGTAATCGGATTGATTTTCTCGGTTGGGGCTGCTAGTCCTACACCGGGCCTTCCATCTTTACCAGAGCTTAGGATAAACTTGTAAACTAGCGAGCCAGTAAACCAAGCTAGGCAAGGTAGCAACCTAGCGGATAAGTAAATAATTAAGGTGAATCGTTTTTAATGAAGAGTAGTTGGGCGGATTAGGAGGAGAAAATAGATTTCAAAGCCATATTTGTTGGGAAATTCTGAGCACAGCTACACTGAAGGGGAAAAAAGGGAAATAGTTCTTTGCGCGCTGCTGTACAAGTATCGATTATAAATGTGGACAACAAGGAGGGGCACATTGATCTCAAGGGGGGAAGGAGAAAAGGGATGAGAAACTAGTCGACACTGGCGGGGAGATTAGACAAGAGGAGAGAGGCAGGAGGCTCTCGCGGCGAGGGAAAAACTAAACGAAATTGGTGGGCGAAAGGAGCGATTGGGCCGACTAAGAAATGTGGGTTGCGGATGAGCGAAGGCGCCAGAAAGAAGACATTCCTGCATTTCTCCATGAGCGTCGCCTTATTTCAACGCTTGGCCCATCTTTTCTCCTTTATTCTCCCTTCTTTCTTTCGTTCTCCCCCTTTTCGGCTAACCTTGAAGGGAAAGATAGGAAAAAACGGAAGAAGCGAAAAAGGGGGGAAAGCGTGAAAAATTCCTTTAACACAAGCAGCAAAACACTAATGTGTGGAATTTAAGTGAGTAGAACAGTA